ATAAGAAAATAAAAAAAATATTTAAATTTAGTTCAGAAATTTTATATAATCAAAAAAAAAAAGATTTATGATTCATCGTGATGGCCAGCATCTTCAGAAGGAGGATTTTGTTGTGGGATGGTTTGTGATGAGGAGGGAATATTTGGATTATTATAAGTAGATGTGGATTGTTGCGAATCTTCCTGTTGTGTGTTGGATATATATGAATGTGCTGGAGAATATACAGGTGAATGTACGGATAAATGAATAGGTGTAGTTTCTTCAGTAATAGTGGTACGGGTAGATTTACTCTTTTTGGTCTTTTTGGCAGGACGTGATAAGGATGCGGTTGTTGGTGATTGTGCCTTTCTTCGCTTCCTACTTTTCTTAGTAGTAGCTGGAACTATTTCGAATTCTTCTGCTTTATCTAAAGAATCGTTATCATCTTCTGGAGGAATAAAGGCAGTCTGTGTATATAGCTTATTCTAATTAAATAAAATTACATAAAAAAATAAAATAAAAAAAAATTAAAAATAAAATTACATTAGTTCGAATTATTTTAAAAAATTTAAATTCTAAATTATAATTAATTAAATATTACTTACAATATTTCTCTCCAGTCTTTTTTTCGTGACTACATCATCCATTACCAACTTATCAAAATTATGATTCAACATAATTTGGCATACGGTTAACGTGTATGCCAATTGATTGTTATTTGGCGTAGTATTAGACCATACTTTTTCCAAAATTCGGTCGAAGTAGGTATCTTCTGTACTATCGTCAAGTGGTCTTAAAAGCTTCTTATATGCTGCAGATGTTTTGGTAGATTTTTTCCATACATCCATTTGTGCAGGAGTAGCTTTTGTAGTAATATAATCTAATTGAGACTTGCTATAAACCAAAAAAAGTGCAGCTTTAATAGACGTGGTAAGTCGACTTCTGCATGAACGATATGATGCTAAAAGCTAATAAAAGAAGTTATTCAAATAAATAAAACATAGTGCAAATTAGTTCGAATTAGATTGAGTAAGATAACAATAATTAAACCAAAATTTGAATACTTAGACTTGGCCTTTTTCTGATTCTTTCCAAAAAACAAAAAAACTCAACCACAACATTAAAAAGAATTTAATTCATTATTACAAATAGCAATAGAGAAATACAAAAGGCTACACAATATTTGCTTTATAAACAAATTTAAATCTTTACTAAACTTAAAGCTAAATTAGCCATAGATTTTCTATACAATATAGATTTCCTTATCAATAGCCTACACAATTGTACCCGAATAATCACCTACTGTTTTAACTTTGCAAAGATAAATTGCTCACTCAGTTTCGAAAAACTCTATAGCTTAATCAATGAGGCACACTCAACATTACTTATCCTCTTACCTCAGAACCCACTTGAAATTGAATTACCAATTTAACAAATCCTCCTCTTTCCTCTACCAATTCAAGATCATAAACTTATCTGAACTATAGTGTTAGCTTTATGAAAAATTTTTACCTTTGATAAACTTCCTAATAGTTACTTTCTCACCATCCTCGAACCACTTCCAGATAATCTAGCTAACCTTTACATTGAGATCTGAGACCTCTTTCTGATTACAAAACAGAATAGACTTCTATATCTTTTTGAATACCACTCAAAACTAATGAAGTATTATATCGTAGAATGAATTACTTTAACCTACCAGAAGCAAAACCACAGCTTCTATTGACTCCTCAAAACCTTATTTTAGCTGTTACCATCTGTTTTCATATAACCCAACAGACATCTCAGAATTTTGTAGATACGTTGATATCCTTAGAGAATACTACAGCTTCTGACATATCCTAAATGATTTCTTCATATAAAAGAAGCCACTTCCAACAGATCTCTACTCAATTAAAATGACAGGAATCTATAACTTCTCTATCTCTGATATACACTAAGCCAAAAAATTCATGGCAGAGATCCAAGACAAATACAAATTCAATATTCTACTCCTACTCTCTTACATAACTGTCAACCACACAAATAAACCCCACTCTCCAGTGAGACTAATCTTATTACTGAAATTAATCTAACTATACTGATTACAAGCCCCAAAGCCCTAGTCAATACTGCTCAACTTTTGAGAGAATACTACTTCTTCTACCAAATCCCAAGTGAATAAATTGAAATTCAAATAACCCCAAATACGTTAGCCAAACTACCACTCCTATCTTAACTCTCTGAAATCACTTCTTACTTAAGCAAACAAATCTTCATCACACAATTCACATCTCTATTACCAACCATAACAAAATTGAAAGTATAATTACTGAACTACAAAACCATTTCAACTTTCAAGGTATACCCCCCACCTCCTCAATCTTCCTAACTTATCAAACCCTCACTAGAACATTTTAGATAATTACCTCACTCCTATAAATGAAGTATCCCAAACTGGCTCACCACCTACTAGCCTCAATTCCACTAACTTGTCTACTCTATCTACAACATCTTCTATTTCACACAACTTACTCTCAGTAGAATCTTCTGACTAATCATCTCTCTCTTCTGACTATAACAATGACTCACCTTTAAATACAGAACTCGATATTCACAAATATTTAAATATAGTTACCCACAATGCACAAGGATTTACCAGTGTACTCAAACTCCAAATTTGGCTCAAATTCTGCACTGCAAATAACTATTACATCATTTCTATTACTGAAACTAAATTAAAAGATTTAGTATCAGCATCCTATATTACAATATATATATATCAAATTTCTCTTCAAAAAACAAAATACAATGCAAAGCAAGCCTTGGTACTGCAATTGCACTATATAAAGCTCTACAACTGTATATTCACAACATACAAACATTTCTAGACATCGCATTATGTATTAACTTCCACCTTCTATCCAACAACAAACTCTGATTTATATCCTTGACAATCAACTTCAACCCAAAACACAATTGCAAATTGGCTTCTCGAAGCAAGACATAAAAATTAGCATACTATCACCTTTGGGAACTTTAATGATAATACTAAATGCTGCAAAAAAACTTCTAAATTATTCTCTACTTTGCAATCTTTATTATCCTCAAGCCTTCTAAATTTCTTCTCAGTTACAGAACCTACCTGGAAATAGGGCTCTCTACAGAGTCAAATTGATGATATTTGGGTTAACTCAAAAATTATACTCAATTTCAACTCATCTATACTGATTGATCCAATCAGAATTATTGACAGTAACCATAAGATCATCCAAACTATATAGACAACTAACTTCAATCTCAAACTCCCAAGGTCTAAGAAAAAGAAAAAAAAAATCTACCTCTATAAACAAATGAATTCTGACTTGTGGCAAGATTTTTCCAAAGTAATAGAAAATGAGTTTTCAACTCTAAACATCTTATCCCTCCCTACAAACTATAACCAGCTTAACAAACACTGGAACAAATGGTCAGATACAATTAAAAAATCATGAACAGAGAAATACTAACAACCCTCAAATCACAGAAAACCTTTCATGCTTTCTCAGTAAAAGCTATCAAGCTTCATATAGCACTCAAAACAATTAACAATATACTCTGAACTGCCTATACAATTTAACCCCCACATTCACCTACCTTTGTAGTTTAGACTATTAATACCTCTTTCAACCAGATAAATACTCTAACTAAAATATAAACAGCACCTTATCAACCTTCAGATTTAATATCAAACTATAGCCACTTTCTTATAGAATTAAAAAACTTGAAAAACACTATATAGAAAGCCTGAAGTATGGAAACAAAAACAGCACAAAAAGAAAAGATAAACTTCTATATTTAGCAATATTACAATAACATGGAAACAAACACCTCAAGAATAATTAATAGCATACTGCATTGCAAAAAAGCAAATATCTCATATGATAAAATAATTACCTCTAATAAAATAATCACAGACTCTAAAGAAATAAAACAAGCAACAAGAGATCACTTTAACAACTATACCAAGTCTAATCCAACAAACCCAAACTTTGAACACAAATAGACACCCTATTTGCAACCACTCTCCAATATTTTATCACATATTTACAACAACCTTACCCTACCTATAACCTATGATGAATTAACCCACTTAAACAACGCTGCTTTTATACATAAAGCCACAGGGCTATCTGGAATATTCAATAAAATACTAAAACACCTACCTTATACATCAGCAAATTTAATAGGGCGTAATATTGCGCAATAATTTACAAAGCATAAGAACACCGTAATATTACATAATAACTTTCGCAATATTGCGAAATATAAAATTACAAAATATTACATAAGATTATTACGCAATATTATGCTAGAAATAACACAATATTACGTAAAATAATTCGAAATAATGCGAAACAGACTGGGATAATTAACTATGAACAATGAGTGTAAAATAATTCGAAATAATTCGAATTATAATAAAAGTGATTGATATAAATAA